CCAACCTGGGCCGAGGGAATGGAACCGGGCCCTCGGAGCCAAACCAGGCCCCAAACTGGGCCGAGAGAGCGGAACCGGGCCCTCGGAGCCAAACCAGGCCCCAAACCGGGCTGAGAGAGCGGAACCAGGCCCCGAACCGGGCCCTCAGAGGCGAACTTGGCCCTGAACTGGTCCTGGGGAGCCAAACTAGGCCCTGAACCGGGCCCTAGGAGCCGGACTGGGCTGGGAGGGGCCAGACTCGGCCCAGAACTGGTCCTGGGAAGCCGAACAGGGCCCCGAGCCCTAGGCCAGGGGAACTGAGCTAAGGACCGAACTGGGCCGGGGGCTCTGAATTGGATAATAAGCCAAGCTGGGGGAGCCGAGCCCAGCTGGAACATGAACTGGGCCAAGGGAGCCGAATCAGGAGCTGAGCCCACAGGAAAGCCCGGCCGGGAGCGGACCCGGGCCGGGCTGGGCCAGGGAGCCGCACCAGGAGCTGCAGTGGGCTGGCCCAAGCGCTGAGTGGAACCAGGAACCAAACCAAACTGGGCTGGGGCAGCCGAGTTGGGAACCGCACCGGGCCGAGAGCCAAACCAGGGCAGGGGAGCTGAACTGGGACATGAAATGCGAGCGGTACCCAGACCTGAACTGGACCAGCCTAAGGGAACTGAACCAGTACAGAGAAGCTCCACCTGGACAAACCTGGAACTGAATCAGGCTAGGGAAAATGCTCCCAGCAACCAAACTGAACTGGGCAGGGAGAGCTGCACCCAGGAATCGAACCAGCCAGGGCAGGGGAGCCAAACTGGGACCTGAACCGGGTTGGGGGAAGAGAACCTAGAACCAAACTGGGCTGGATGGAGGTGTCCAGGAACCGAATCGGGAACCAAAAAACGCCAAAGAAACTGTACCCAAGAGCCAGACCCACCTGTGTCATGTGGAGGAGCCATGCCTGGGAACCAAACCCAGAATCGAACCGGGCCAGGGAAGCTGCACCTTGGGACCAGCCAGAACTGAACCAGGCCAGGTGGAGGACACAGCCTTGTCTGGGAGACGGAGCAGGCGCTGCTGCTTCAAACACAGGCAAGTGGTGTCTGTGGAAGTCCTGACACCTTCATGAGAGCAATCCGCCCTCTTCTAAGCAGTGCCCAGAAGTTATTTCCAAGAGGAGTGGACAGAGCCTTAATTTTAAGCATTCTCCTGCAGTCTTGCGAACCTGAGGTGCACAGTGGTGTAGCTCAGACTCGTGAAAATCTTGAAATTGGCTTAGCGCTCATGAGATATTTGCAGTACAGATTGACACTTTGAATTTGCCGCTTGGCTCTTTTGTAGGATGTGTAGTGGGGTGCATTTTGGACCTTTTTCATGAAGCAAGGAATGCTGAAAGTGCTGTTCTGGGGAAGGAGAAAAGGGAGAAAAGAAGGGCTAGGACTGTTGCATCGTTGTACAGCTCTGCAGGAGATGAAGAGAAGCCACCAAATACTGCGGGACACTCACACATGCATACCGCTGTTGGCTGTGCTCATTGCCAGGGATTAGCACCCGTCCAAGGCTGGCAGAGTGCAGTTTCTGCATGAAGTGGGTTAACACTTAGCTGAAATTGATGGTGGTTTTAGATAACACGGCAGCTGCGAAATGTGGTGTCCCAGAAGTGGACTTGTGACCCATTCCACTACCCCAAATACGGATCGGCCGCCTCCAACGAAGAGGACAGGCAGATGGTGGAAGGGATGTGGACAGGGCGGTGATTATTACAGCACCATCCACTAAATCTTTCTGGGCCCTGAGGGCAGAGGCCTTGCTCCCGGAGGACTCAGGGGCTGAAGACTCAGGACTGATTTAATGTTGGATGGACGTTAAGCTGTTCTGAGGAGCTGCCGGGGCATTTTTGGACTAAAACAGGCAAACGACAAGAAGAGATGAGACGGCTCCATGGCACAAAGAACTGTTGGGCAGAGGCCGCGCAGCAGAGGGGCTGCTCTGTTACCACTCTCCCCCTCCCCATGCTGATACTTTCCAGGAAAAATCTGGCTCCCTTCACTTTGGTAGAGGTTTATTTTTGGAAGGTTTAATAATGTCCATGGTGTGTCTGTCACTCACTCAAAATACAGAGCCTTTATTTGTATTTATAGGCAAGATTAAATATAAAACTGGCTGTGCTCCAGCTGGCTCCTGCACCAAACTTCTTTGACACGAGCATCATCCACAGCAGTAAAGCCACTGGCCAGGTGGCAGTTTTACAGCTCCTGTAAATGAAAGACAGACCTGGCTCGTCATTTTTAAGGGTGACCTCCCCCTACACAAATGGTTATTGATGCTCAGAGTAAATGTGGATGCGGCATCTCTGTGAGAGCTACAGGCCTCTGAACCAAGACGGTGTTCCAGCAAGACTGCCTTTGCTTTGAAATGCCCCTTGCAAAGTGGTACAAGGCCCTATCAGCTCGAGGCCTGGTGTGGAGACCTGATTCTCTTAACCAGAGTGGAAGACGCAGGTAAGAAAAGCACCTCAGGACAGCAAAGCACTGAAGTGTGTTTCCTGGGGAGGTTTCCAGGCGAATGAACTGAGCAGGACAGGCCAGGACTGAGCCCGTAGAGCTGACAGCCTGGGGCAGTGGCTTGGAGAGGATGATGTCGGGGGCCTCTGAGAAGGAGCTTGGGATGGGATTCAGCCCCTGTGATTTACAAAGGACGCTGCCTGCTGCAGGTATACTGTGGAACAGATTTTGACCTACTTTGACATGGTGCCATCTGGAATGGCTTTATACTTCCAGGAACCTTTTTGTTTGTTTTGTTTATTTAAAATTTTTAAAAAAGTCCCCAAACTAAACCAACCCTTGTCTGCTGCCACCCCTGCGCGCTGCGGCGCATCTGCCTGTAGAGTCTCAGGGAGTAAATGCTGATGGCTCACTGATGTGGGGCGCTATGGAAAGACCCATCACCTCATGACAGAGGGATGACAAGGGAGGCCCAGCAAGGGTCTGCAGGGCGTTTTGTCAGGGCTCAGGGCCTGTTTTGGAGGTAAGTTGAAGGTGTTCAGCAGGGCCAGATTTTCCAGAGCCCTCTGTTTTCTCTTCGCACCAAAGGAATGATGCTTTTCAGCATGCTCGGGGGAGTTTGTTGCGTAAGTTTCTCCTCGTGTCAGACTTCCCAGAGTCCAACAAGACTCTGTTGAGTGAATTTTGAGGCTTCTCCTCTCCTGAGGTTCAGGACTCACGTATGCTAGCGAGCATGAAAGATAAGGCTTTGAGCAATTTGGGTAGCACATGGATGGGAAGAAGACAGAGTTGAACATAAACGGGGAGCAAACGCGTTCAGGAGGGATTGCTCTCTAGGAAGGCAGACAGAGTACGTTAAAGCCCTGAGTGCCCATGCACAAATGGCTTTAAAAATGCCTCCATTTTTTTCCAAGTGGCTCTTTACAGGTCTGCTGCAGTTCAGGGTCACTTGAGTCCAAAGCTTCATACCCTCAAACCATGAACGGCCCTTAGCAAGCCGCAGATCAGGGCCTGGTAGTAACACAACCCACTTGAATGAATGAATCCGAAAAAAAATATATGCTGCACCACAATTACAGGTAGAGAAGGTATTTCAGGCGTTTAGTAAACATGGCAAATAATAAATAGAGCTATTCAGTCAGCAAACAGCTGCATGATTATAAATAGGAAAATCTACCCCAGCCCAAAGCCAGCTGAGACCCAACAACGTACAGTTATTAAGGAGTGATTTTTCTGTGCGTTTTTTGGAAGGAGGTTGAAAATATTTTGCCCACTCTTTATTTTAGGAAGGTGAAATGTCCCTGGTGGATTTCAAAAGCTAACCTCTCGGGTATGCATTTTCCATGCCAAGACACTGAGTCACAAAGAGATTGCAGGAAGCTGTTTCAAATCCAGACAGGGGATAAAATGGCTGTAATTTAGTAGCCAGCTCAGCTCAGTCCGCTAATAAGCGCACCGCCCTGTCCATGCCCTCAGCCTTACAAGCTGAGAGCTTTGCTTGCTGCCACTTTCACATGTTATTTGGTTATTGCTTGGGGTTGAACTTGTCCACACCTATTCCATTCTGAAAGACTGCCTGTGTCCAGGCCAAACCAGAGTTCAGAGAGCACATTAGCTGGCTGGAAAATGCTGTCATTCCTCCTTTGTGCCGTATGGAAGCTGACAGTCTCTAGGCATGCCTGTTGGACCCTTGGGCTTGCAGGGACATCTTTCTGCTCTCCCTTGTTTAAGCTGCAATCATCAGTTGCGTGTGTTTGTCCATGTATAAGTCTCTGGCCTTAGTGCGTTGTAGCAGGGAGGGGCACGTCATCATTGTGTGAACTGGTCAGACCTACTTGTTTGGTGACCCTAAGTGAGGTGCAGTTTGACAATATGGGGTTGGTTCTGTCTTTTGGAGGTTGCACAATTACGAACTGGGCGTCATGATTTTATCCTTGGAGATGCTGGGGTGATCCTTAGTGATCTTTAGACATGCTGGGTATGCAGTGCGTATGGGGTCTTGATACCGAGGGATCCCAGGCTGCGTGCCTGAAGGAGTTTCTGCCTCCAGCTGCTTGTGGTTGCACCACAGTGGTGGAGCAGAGACAACAGAAAAGGTACTTTGCCGCCTTCTGAGCTGGTGCAGCTCCTCACCTGATCCGTTTCATCGCTGCTGATTTCAGCCAAAATATGAGCTGCGGACAAGCCGCTCGTCCTGCCCCTGCTCTGGGGCAGGATCCCCCAGCCAGGAAGTGGAATGGGTGGCCTGGGACAGGGACCTTGTTCCATGCTGCAGGTACTCTGGTGAGTCTCGTGATCAGAGCCCTGGCCTGGTTTATGAATCTGACCTGTATGTTACCTCAAGGCAAGATCCAGCAGGGTTATCCTGCTGACACGTTGGGATTTTGTCCTGTTAGGGATTAACGACCTTTCTCGTTGCTCCAAGGCTGGGTCAATCCCATTGCCAGCTGCAGAGCTGCCGGGGTCAGCCGAGATATGCTCCGTCACTGCTGCCCCGTATCCGCATAGCGGGGCCAGAGGGGAGCTGTTGCCCCTCCCGCTGCGAATCGTTCCCAGAGCTTCCCCTCCTCCCAGCTGCCTGAGGAACAGGCTTCACGTGTTATGTCTGTTCACTATTTGAAGTGAGCGCTCTGCGGAGTCAGAAATCTTGGTCCCTGCAGCCATGAAGTCGGCTGAAAGTATAGGCTGTGCTTAGGAGGAGAATTTGCATGGCCCAGTTCAGAAAGGAAGCTGAGCTGAATTCCCCCACTCTGACTGCCCCTGTCAGGAGGGCTTTGATCCATCTCTCCTGGACTGTGCCCTGGAGTGCCATGTGGGCTGGCTCAGAGGAGAGGGTCCCATGCAGCAAGTCGTCACCCCGTCTGGGCACAGATTGGCCTGAGGTGACCAATCAACCCTGACCGTGCTCAGCTGGTCAGAGCTGGGAAGCTCCCTGCAAGGAGGCCCAGAGAGCAAAACGGTTCCCAAATTTCCACCGGCTCCTGGGTCCTTGAGATGAAATGAAGTGTGTTGCTGACAAAGGAAAGAGTTGTTTTACATAGCCTCTCTAGGGTGGCTGATCCATGGGACCAGCTGCCTTGGCCATTCTGGTGTCTCGGTCTTGTGGATGCTCTCCGACGGGGTAGCACAGGAGGTGGGGATGGGTCAGGGCAGGGGGGAGGGCAAGAAAGACAGAGGGAGATAAAGGGAGGAGGACAGTGAAGCCTCAGGCACACTGAGGAGAGGAGGTGGGAACATAGAGGAGAAGCTAGACACAGTGAGGGAAAGGGCAGTGGTGCAGGGAGACATAGGGATGTAGGGAGAGGTTCTCATTTCCAAGGGAAAATGAGGCAGGAAAGGGAGGAAGCAATGGAAGATCAGAGGAGAGACGGAGAAGAAGAGGGAACAGAGAAAAGCCAAGGAAAAATAAAGCCGTAACAGTGGTTAGCTTGGGGGAATTTGTTTGCTCGTGCCCGTGATTTGACAGTCCTTGGTTGGTGTTGCTCAGCTCTGGGTGTATGGAGAGAGGGTTGCCAGGTGCTGTTCTGCGAGGCTTTGAGTCACGGAGGATATCTGCATCTCTCAGTAGCGTTCCTGGGGGAGCGCAATCTCTCAGTAACGTTCCTGGGGGAGCGCATCGCGGGCTGGAGGCAGGCCCTGGGGAGCGGTGAAGGCAAAATTGGCCACAGCAAAGCGTCACTGCCATCTTCCCTTGTCTGCTGGACTGGGTTTGGACTTTAAAAGGAATTGCTTTAGAAACAGTCTTACTTAGGAATCCCTTTTCTTTCCCTTTTGTTTGGCTGTTCTCTCCCCCCTCCTCCTTTTCTTTGTCTGCTAATGCACAACAGATGGGAGGAAATGCCATTTTAAATGCCACAGCATCCTGATGAAATGCGATGGGTTATGGCAATCTCAGATGAATCATGGCATTGTTTTGTGTACACAGCCCTGCTGCTGCGGCTCACCCTCGCTCAGGCAGTTTTCTGCCTCCAGTTTTACAAATACAGTTAAGGTCATTTAGGTGTCCATGCCAGCTGCTTGACAGGTCCCCTCCAGGGCCTGGGTGTTCAAGTCACGTTAACTAACCAGACACATTTGTGGAGTCAGAACTGAGCCTATAGTTGCTTTACTGGTGGTGAAACCTGCAGCTAGCTTTGAAACATCTGGTCTGTACTGCCTTTGGGTATGTGGGGGTTATAAATTACACTAAATTCCCACGTTACGTTTCTAGGATTTCCTCGTAAGGTGCAAGAACTGTCCCCAGGAGGAACAGGTTCGAGAGAAGCAAGCCCCGCGTGGCACGGCTCTCCCCACTGTCTCCAGCTTGGAGTTTAGCTGCTTAGGGAAGCCGGGCTCTGTCTCCAGGCCTGCCTGCTCCTCGGCCACGCTGCAGAGACGGATCTGCAGAGCCCAGTCCGACAGTGGTTTCTGTGATGTGGCCACCTGCCGCTGGGGGTTTGCTTGAGATGGTCGGATCATTTCACGTAAGCTATCAGGCAAGCATCAAATAATATTGACTCAATCGCTAGCAGCCTGTTGCCAGATGAAAAACAGCAGCTCAGAAGTGGAAAAAAAAATACACACACACATACATACACACATATATATATCCCAACAGCTCCATTATTGAAAGCTGGAGTGACCCAGCCCTGTTAGTTTCAAACTAATTAATTGCGGAAAAAAGTCACCTCTAAGCCTGCAGAATATAAAGCAGTCTTTTAATTTAGGTGGCTGAAAGAACAGATTTGAAAACTCCAACTAGCAATGTTAGAATTTGGTTGCAATATGCTTAGTTTTAGTAACCTAGATTGGAAACATCTCTCTCTGTATGTCTAAATGCCTGTATGTCTAATTCATGGCATTTATTCAGCACTGGCACTGAAAAGCTAGCAGCGTTAAGCCATTTCATTTCTCGTTATAAGAGCTAATACACATGGATGCTCTACTGTAGCGAGTGGAAGGGTTGTTATTATTAATTAACCCCCACCGCTCCCCTGCTTTCCCCCAAGCTCTTGCTC